ACACATTTAAAACAAGCAGAAATAGACCTTTAATCTTTTTAATGTGGTACTTTCACTGAGGAGGATGGAGACAGGGATGCCTTTAAGCTACTTGTGTGTCCTTCCTGATCTGGAAAGGTGCAGTCTGCTCAGACTCTGCCACGAGGGATCCTCTCGCTGCTGTGGGGCTCAGACTGGGTCAGGACAGTCTGTCAGGGCCAAAAAAGAGCCATAAAAAAGGGCCAAAAAAAAAGCCATCCCTGCTTCCTGGGGCAGCTTCTCAGGGAGCAGGGTGAGTTTTAAGTGAGAGCATTAAAATGGTTGAGAGGCTGCACCATTTGTATCTTCCAGGCAAGGCACAGACCCCGCTGTCCTCGGGGACAGGGCCAGGTGAGGGTGACTGAAGCACAGCCCCTGGCCAGCAGCAGGACCTGACCCCACTTTCCCCCACGGGGTAAGGAGCCAGAGGAAGCTCAAGTGCACATCTGGGGACAGGGAGATGGTTGCACTGGTTGGCCCCATTCTCCTGCAGGTTTAACACAAAAATGAAGGCGCCCCTTGGCAAAGCGATCGCATGGCAGGATGCAGCCAGTCCCAGCAGCTCCAAAAACTTTTCAGGGCTGTGAGGTTTCTGCCACAGCCCTCCTGGGATCATGGCTGGGGGCTGAAAGATGTGTCCTGGCCCCATGTGCAAGTCCCATTTATCTGGTGGTTTATGGAACGTGGCTCATGCCCCGGTTGTCTGTTCCTCTCACCTGGATCGGGTGGTGGTGTGGTGCCAGCCTCACCTGGCACATTGGTAAGAGTGAAGGGGGCTGCTGGTGGAGAGGCTGGTGGACAGCAGCTGCAGGTCAGAGCCAGGTATCAGCAACCCAAACCTATGCAAGGGGCTGTCAAAGGGGCTGGAGCTGCGGGCCATGCACAGCTCCATCACCTCAGAGAGGTAATTTGCTTTTTTCTCACATCCTCTGTGAGCGCTGACTTCTCCAAGCAAGCAATCACCTGTCCTCAGGGGAAGGGGGATGCAAGGTTGGGGACTGCAGTGGCAGCAGCTCTGGGGCAGCATGCAGAGGGCTGTGAAGCAAGAGCCCTGTCTGCCTGGCCCAGCTGCACAGGACAGTGATGCTCCAGCCCTGAGTGGGCTCCATGTGGGGCCAGCACTCTGCCAGAATCCTCAGGCTCCCCCAGAGAGCTCCTCCCCAGACCCTCCAGCCTTGACTGATGCAGGAAGCTCCACTGCATGCTGCTGCTGCTGCAGTGAACAGAGCATGGAGCCAGTCTGCTGAGCCCTGATCTGGTCACGGCTCCAAACAAGACACACCAGCCTTGGGGCTCCTGGGCTGTCACTAAAATGGTGTGGGTGGAAGGAAGAGGCTAATTGACTGAACAACAGCCTGTGCTGTGTAATTAAACTAATTGTGCCTCTACCTGCAATGGTCAGAAGTAATTTGTGTGGCTGTTACCTCACTGACAGATAAGAGGTGGGGAGGTGTGTGAAGTATTTTAAGATGTATTTCCATGGGTCATTTTGCTCTTTCATTTTGGGCAACTTCGTGCCCGTTAAATTTTTGGTTTCTGTCAAATTTGAGAAGGTTGTTAATATTTGATGCTGAAGCAGGGGTAAGTAAAAAGGTCACTGTTGTTACAACAGCGTTTCAGGAGGCAGAGTTTCAAGTGGCAGCTATACTTTCTCAGTGCTATTTTCTTATTCAAAGTGAAATCCCTCAAAAAAAAAAAAGGTCTGTTTGCCAGAATGTGTTTCAGCCAGGCCCTGCATCTGCTGGAGACCAGACAATTGTTTTTATTGATTTGAGCAGCACAAGACCAGGCCTTCTATACAACTTGGTGAAACACAGGTCACTCCTTTAGTGCCAGGAATTTATGGCATTAGCTTTCACTGATGGCTTGGAAAGTTCTGGTTCAGAGTCCGGTGCATTTGGAAGAGGCAGAGTGAGGAACCTGCTACAGTGTCACGCTGGAGCTCTCTGACCTTGTTTTCAAGTCCTTGCAAAGCAGAGCCCACCTCCACCTTGTAGCTCTTATTGATTATCATTTTGAGTCCTTGAGGCGTTTTGCTGGCCCAAAGCACCGTGAGCTTTTCAGAACAAATAATCTGGCATGACAGAGAGCTGCTGAGGTGACTCTGCTCTCTGGGCTGCCAGCACAGGACAGGGCTTTGTGCTGGTGCTGGATGTGGATAAGTGGAGGGACATTTCGTCCCTGTGGGAGCCCTTGTTCAGCCTGCGAGCAGCGCAGGAGTCAAACACCTGCCTGGGGCCACTGCTGCCTGTTTTTGGCTGTGTGTCTGGGCAAGGACATGGCACAACCAGGCTGTGGGACACGCACCAGCCCTTCTGCCCTAAACACCCCTCGCTGCAGAGAGACAGGACAGAAGGGGGGATGGATCCTCAGTGGGATCCTCTTGCCTGAAGAAACCTCTGTAACACACTTTATTCTTTCTGAGCTGGAGATGAAGGGACTCACTTTTCAGGTAAGAAGAAACTGCCAGTGTGGTCTGCTGCTCCTTTGTCATCCTGCCCCAGGTGCAGGAAATACGAGGTGTGACCATAAGGCTGCAGTATCTATCACTCCAGAACTGTGGCAACAGGAACCGGGAAAAGAGCACAGGGAGAGCAGGATATAGAAACACTTTTTAAAGACAGCAGCTTACCTTCTGGTTTTTGTCCACAGGAAAGAAGTGAGTCTGAATAGCTTCTGCTGAGTCCAATTTGTTATGTCTCCAGGCATAGCTAATTACCCTGACTTAGCCCAGCTCTGAGTTCTTCCCAAGGATTTTGGTGCTATTTCTTCTATTCTGATTTATAAATTTTCTTTATTTTGCTTTCCTCCTACATGTTCTGTATAATCTTTTTCTCCCTGGCCCAGTGAGGAGCCAGAGCTGCTGTGACAGTGCTATCACAAGGTGCAGGATGGAAATGGGATCTGTCAACCAAAGCCTTTGCTCTGGTGTCCTGCAGTGGCCTCTCCTCTCCTGGCATCTGCCTCAGGGGCTGAGTAAAATGGCATTTTCATGCTGCCACTTTCTGCTGGCCTTACTGCAACCATGCCAGGCCAAAGGGGTGAGAGGGGCTCGGCGTGGGCTCCACAGCTCAGGGGCTTTGCTCACAGACTGTGCCCCACAGCAAGGCGATTCCTGGCTTCTCCACTGACTCATCAGAAGGAATTGCAGTTATTTCCTGGTTCAGCCATTCCCTTCACAGTTGACAGAGTTTTCCTAACCACAGTGATGAATTCTGTGGGGGAACAAAATCCACCTGCTGTAACCACAGGCTGCCTGCTGTAGTAAGCAGGAGTCACTGCCATTGGACTCAATGTGACCCTCTCTGTGCAGTACCCTTTGGAAATGCTAATTAATGAGTCCCCCAAACACCCCTTGGGACAATGGCTGCTGTTTATGAGACTAGACTGCCAAGAAGCTCAAGCAAGGTCAGCTTTAACTGCTAGAGCATGGCACCTCTTTACAGCATTGATTTGTTTCCCAATACACCCCTTTTGTTTTTCTTTTGGTTGGTTTGTTTGTTTTCCAGAGTTTGCACCCACGAATGTTTTTGTCTCTGGGAGATTGCAGCACTGACCACCCTCAGGACCTCTGGTGAGGATTACCTTTGTCTCTGTAAAATGGGCTGGGAAGTGGGTGAGAGCAAACCCCATCCCAGTCCTGCCTTCTGTACTGGCTGAGGGCAGATGCTGGGGGGAGAGGATAAACCCAACAAAAGTAGAGAGTGTTATTTCCTTGGAACAGTCCCTCAGCCTCCAACAGCTTCCAGCTCAAGGTTGTGCAGAATTGCAGCAGTAGGTTCTGGTGGATTTTCCCTCCATGATTTACCCCCTAACTCTCAGCATCCAGCATGTCCTGCAGTGGAGTCTCGCTCCATGGCTGCACATTTTCTGGAATATCACCTCTTGCTCTTTTTGAACCTACCACCCTCTGGTCATGCTCGAATCCCTTGCAGTTCTTGTGTCAGAAATGGTGGGTACTTGTATCCTGTGACACTGGTACATTCACAGGCCCCTGCCACCTCTTCCCCAGAACCATGGATCTCGTTTCATTTGTACTCTCTTCACGTGGAAGTTGCTCCACACTTTTAAGCAGCCTTTTGGCTCTCTTCCATGCCTTTTTCTGACTTTGCAGCAGCTTGTGTGACAGGAGGAGAGAACTGCACTTATTTTTCAAGACACGAGTGCAATACTGGTTTACACACAGGTGGAGAAACGCAGCCTGCTCTCGCTCTCTTTCCAAACAGTTTTGGTCTGGTGGTTATACACTTCTTAGGGCCTAAAATCGATGCAGGTATTAATTAAATTTTTTAGTCAGACTGATGCAATTAATCATCAGGACTTTGGAGTCCTGACTTAGTGGGATTTCAGTGGTTCACAGGCTGGCTGTAATCACCAGTGAGCACAGGCTGAACACACCTGGGGATTACAGCACCACATGCAACGTGGTGTGCAGGGAGGGGCTGAGCAGAGCAGCGATTCCCTTGCCAGATGCTGTGAGCACAGCTGTGCTGGTGAGGGATAAAGGCACAGGATTGCTCAGTGGAACACAGCCCTGGTGTGGCTGCAAAGCTGGGCTTGGCTGGCTGGGCCACAAACTCTCAGATGGCTCTGGGGCTGCTGCACTCAGCTTTGGAGCCCAGACCCGGGAGCTGTGGCACCTTCATCGTGCCCTCCTCCACTGTCCCTCAGACAGGACAGATCTCTCTTCTCTGTGGTGGGTCACCCACAACCTGTGCTTTCTCTGTGTGCCTACTGGTGCCAGAGCTCTTCCTGCAGAGCTCTGGGACGAGAAGCAGATAAGGTGAGAACTGAGGGGTTTGTTGTGTAATGGTAACAACCAAGTCTGACACACTACATTGACACAGGACACTTTCCATCTCTCCTTTCTCACCAGGAGCTTTGCCCAGTGCTTCCCATCTTGTCTTCACGTGGGCAGGGCAGAAGCTGCTCCTCCTGCTCCTCCAGCCCCCCAGCAAGAGTGGACACACACCTGAGTGACCATGGGCAAGATGGACAACCCCTCCGTGGAGCTGAACTCTCCCTCCGAGGTGAAGCAGGCAGCCCTGGAGGAGCTGGAGCCCATCAGACCTGAGGTCGTGAGCGCCAAGAAGAAGAAGAAGGAGATCCCAGACAGAGGCTCCTGGAAGGGGAAATTCGACTTCTTGCTGTCCTGTGTGGGCTATGCCATCGGTCTGGGCAACGTCTGGCGCTTCCCTTATCTCTGTGGCAAAAATGGAGGAGGTGAGAGAAACGCACAATGAGCAGCCTTGAGCCCTGGCAGGGTTTGGGTTGGTGTGGCTCTGGCAAATGGGTGATCCTCCAGCTGAGAGCTCTCCCACATGCTGGGAGTTATTAAGTTGTCCAGAGACAATTTTCCATGATCTCTGGGCTTCACTAGCAAGTGCAGGCTGGGATGAAGCACTCCAAAGAAATAAAACAAGCAGTTTGAGTTCTGCCATGCTTCTGCAGTCCAAATTTGCAGGGCTACAAAAAAAAAAAAAGCATGTGGGACCTGATTTACTTATAGGGAGGGCTGTGCACAAATAGGCACCCAGCTGGATTCTGAGGCACCTCCAGAGAAACCACTTTGCATCTCTTAAATGTGGGGCTCTCCTCAGTCCAGTCTATTCTCAAGGGAATTCTCCCTGCTCAGCTACAGAATTTCTGCACGTCTTGGATCAAGTCAGAAAACACACTTCTGTGCCTCAGCTTCCCTCCAAATTGATGCTCTTTCTTCAGCCTTGTCAGGGAGATGCTTTTGTGGAGGGGAGTATGGGCAGGTGTCAGTAGAGCAGAGGTTCTTTCTTCTCACTCCATGCTGAGCTCTCCCATCGCTTGTTCCTGTTGTTAAAATAGCCTTCCTTCTCCCCTTTGAAGAGCTGCTCACTTCCCTGAACCATTTTACAGCCTTCCCACACAACTCCAAACCCCTTCTCCTCACCTTCAAGGCTGTATATATAATTTTAGTTTTGCCTGCTAGTCTTCCCACATTGCTCTTAGCTCTTCCTGGCCTGGAGTCCCCATCCCAAGTGCCACACTCAGTCATGCTGCTCTGAGGGTCTCGTATTTCATCTCCATGTCTCTTTTACTTTCCTTTTACCTTTGGCTCTCACAGCTTCTCATATTACCTGCCCATTTCTGCTGTCACAGGAGTGTAGGATGCTCTTTTCCTCCCACCCTGGAAAAGAGGAGAAGGGTCTTGTTCCCTGAAGCAATGTCCATTTAACTTCATGGCATTTAAGGGTATCTCAGCCCTTTCCCTGAAGCATGTGGAGTCCTAGCCGGAGACCAGAAAATAGCAATTTTAACAAGAAGATTTCTAACTGAGTATGTTGTTTTCATAGAATTGTAGAATCACAGGATGGTCTGGGTTGGGAAGGACTTTAAAGATCACCCAGTTCCAAACCCACTGCCAAGGGCAGGAACACCTTCCACTGGGTTGCTCAAAGCCACATCCAGCCTGGCCATGAACACCTTTGGGGATGGAGCATCCACAGCCTCTGGGTTTTGTGGAGAGGTGGAAATACGCGGCTGAGCGGAGCGAGGTTTATGGGAACACGCAGGGCTGCCCGGGGAGCCTCTGCCAGCAGTGCCAGAGCCAGGGTGCAGGTTTGTCACCTCGGTGTGACAGCTCTGCCTGCTCTGTGTCCCCACAGAACATCTCCCCGTGGCTGGGAGCCAGCCCTGCCCTGTGCTTGTGCATCTCCTCTCGTCTCACAGCAGCTCCGCGCTGCCCTGGCCTCACACACAAAGCTGGGGTGACAGTGATCGGATGAGGGGTGTTGTGAGGCTGAACTCGATCCTGGTCAGCCGAGCTCACAGGACAGAGGCTGCTGAGGAGGTGTTCTCAGCGCTGTTCTCAGCGATGGCACCGGGACCTCTCCGGGCCGGCAGGGAGGGAGCGACAGCGGGAGCGCCGGGCAGGGACAGGGACAGGAGCAGGGCTGGGGACAGGGACAGGGACAGGGACAGGGACAGGGGCCGTGGAGGCCGGCCGGGAGCAGCAGGCAGTAATTCCCACATTCCCACCCAGGGGCCGTGGGTGTCCGGGACTCCAATTCCAGCGTCCCGCGTGTGCGATGTTTCTATTCCATCCCTAACCCTAACCCTAACCCTAACCCCTGGCATCTCCGGGGCTGTACCGGACTGCAGAGTCACAGATTCAGTCGGAATGCGGCTCAGGACCTGCTAAAAATTGCCTGCGAGGTCCTAAGCTTGAGTAACTTGGGAGAAAAACAGTTCTTTGAATAAGCATCCTGCACTTCTCATTTGCACGCTGAGACTCAAAGCAACAGCGTGTAACGGCTTGTAACACTCAATTTTTGATTTGTGGGCAGGGTTTCCCGTTTTAAGGATTAATTGTTATTCTCTGCTGTAGGACTTTAGGAGCAGGCAGATCTGGGGCTGCACAGTGAGCTCCAGGTGCTGTTTTGACACCCATGGATCTGGAGACAAGCTGGGGCTTCCACAAGGTCACACACAACCATATTTTGTACCAGCCTGCAAAATTTACATACAAATTTCACAGCTGATTCCCCATCTGGCTGTACAGGAGCTGGGGATATTATCCATGACTGCTCGGGGACCTGGCCCTCCAGAGTGGCAGAGCCATTGCCAGCAGCCCCCGGCTCAAGGAGCTGCTCTGGTTTGTAGATTTTCCTCTACTCTTGAGAATCTTTGTCAAACCAGGATAAAAGACTTGTGTCCAAAAGTTTATTTGGGGTTTGGTGTTTTTTTTCCCCAAGAGCCTAATAAGGTCTTTCACCTACAAACCTTCCTGACCTGCTGTAGATGAGAAATGCAGGATCATCAGAGCTGCAGCCAAATTTCATGAATTGCTTGCACAGAAGCGAGGAAGAGACTTGCCGTGCTGCTAAGCTCAGCCTCCAGACCCCGCAGCAGCAGGGGAGAGCAGAGGCTCCGAGCAGAGCCTGGCTTCCCGCAGGGCTCTCAGAGCCTGCCGTGGTGTCCAGCGAGCTCAGGGCAGGCTGAGCAGGCACAGGGAAGCCCAAAGCCGCTCTCTCCTGTGTGCCAGGCTGCTGCTGAAGCCAAGAGCCTGTGCTTCCACACCAGCTTGTGAGTCAGGCTCATGGCCACCGAGCTGCTGGCACAGAGAGTGTTTTCTCCCCACCACCCACTGCCAGCTCCTCTTGCAGGCTGCCTCCCCTGGACTCCCGTGCCGGGTGCTGGCACCTGCCTCTCCCAGCTGGGTTCAGCTCCCTGCTTGGCAGGCAGATGTCCCCAGCTGGATGTCCCCTGAGCCAGAATCCCTGGCTGTGTCTGGCTGCTTTCCTGCCCTTGGAGATCAGCTGCTGCAGCCTGGCTGTGCCGGGTGCAAGCTGGGCCACAGCTCTCCAGAGTGGCTTTGCTCCATGTTTGCTTTCCCACAATTATCTGGAGAAGAAGACTCCGACTGACAGCTTAGTGCAGGAATCAGTGCTGTCCTGAGCATGGCCAGCTGCTTCTAGGCACCCTGAGTGTCCTCTCTCTGTCCTCAGCCAGCATCTTCTGCAAAAGTTTGTCCTCCTCAGAAATTATGGCCCACTCCAGTACACACATGAGAAAGATAAAAAATGGGCTTTGTGCCATGTCCTAGAAGCCAGGATGACCTGACCTTGTGCAGCCTTCCAATCCCACGGCAAAGCTCTCCCACAGTGACAAGGGGAAAGCAGCGGTGACCCCAGTGGGAGACACCAGCTCCAGCTGCAAACTCACCTCTGGGAGAGCCTGCTCCTCATCACATGGGTGCTGCAGAGCAGGAAACTGCAGCTGGAGGCATTTCCTTCTTGGGCAAAGGGGGGACTGCCTGATAGTATTGCTCCTTCTTGCAGGGGCCTTCCTCATCCCGTATTTCCTGACACTGGTGTTTGCTGGGATTCCTCTCTTCCTGCTGGAAACTGCTCTGGGCCAGTATACCTCTGTTGGTGGACTGGGAGTCTGGAGATTAGCACCCATGTTCAAAGGTACTGTGCTCTGTGTTTGTGGCAGCAGTGGCACGTAACTACAGGCAAAACCCCATTAATGGTTTGAAGAAAAATCAGCAAATCCCTGGGGGCTGGGATGGGGTGGCAGGGTTTTTCCCTCTGTCTTTCTCAAGCTGTCTGTGACCTCAGTGTCTGCAGTCACTAACATCACTGTGGTCTGTTCAAGTTTGGTGTGGTGACAAGGGACTTCATGAGCAGTATGGACTGCGATGGAGGGGCTCTGGTTGCAGAATCCTTTGTTTTCCCAAGCTTCCCTACACATGCTTGCTTTAATTTCATGGGAGCAATTAACTCCCTGTTGCCATGCTTGAGGTAACTCTTTTCTAGAAGCCAATGGTGATTTAGAAATGCCTTTGGGTTGGCTGTGGGAAAGTGCAGTTCTGCCAGAGAAGTGACAAGATCCTGTTTTCACGGAGCTCTGTCCATAAAGTGCCAGTAGCACACTGAAAGGTAGCATTGTTCCCCAGTGGAAATGAGAGACAGGAGGGAATGAGCCTCCCTTGCTCACAGTGCAGCTGTAGCACACTCTGTGTTGATGAGCTGATTCCCTTTCTCTGGTTTTCAAAGAAACCTTGCTGTGCTGCCCACGAGCTCCCTTGGGTGCTGGAGACCTGCACTGAGGCTGCTCTCTGCCTTCCTTTGCAGGCGTGGGACTGGCAGCTCTGGTTCTGTCCTTCTGGCTGAACATCTACTACATTGTCATCATTGCCTGGGCTCTCTACTACCTCTTCAACTCCTTCACTGCGGTGAGTCTGCAGCAGGGCCCTGCCTGTGCTCTGCTCCCTCTCCCACTCACAGCCAGTGATCTGTTTGTGGCCCACAGCAGGCACTAGCTGCTTGCCACTTGTGCAAAGAGCCCTCGTCAGCATGGTGCTAGACCCTTCTGAAGAGGTTCCTCAGCCCTGGAGGCAGTTTTGTAGTGCTGATCAGTAGTGATGCTTGTCCTCTGGAGGGGATGGTCCCATCCCCTCTGCAGGAACTGTTCCCCCCTCACTCCAGTCTTGTAAACTCACCCTGTGTTTCTCTTTTATTGCTAGGGCTGCTCGAATCTGAGCTGCACATTTCCAGAACTGGTTTTGTCAGGTTTTGTCACATCATGGTCTTATTTCTCAGGACTTACTCCTTATCTGAATTAGTTCTTATTCACTTCTCTCTTGATAAATGATATCCAAGGGATTTTTTTTTTCTCCTGGGAAAATTATTCAGAAAGTATTTGCATATCTGCCTGTGACTGTCTCTTAGTTTGTGCTTTGGCCTGTGTGGGTTCCTCTTCCATAGCAGGACCTTCTACCATACAAGGTTAGAATCACACCCCATATTAACTTCTTGTTAACTGAACTCTTTATTTCAACCCAGGAACCGGTAAGAGTTTCCTTAACGTAACTCTCCAAGCAACCTGCAGCCTTAAAGACATCAACCCCATGGTTCAGATGGGATCTTTTTAAATGTCATTTAGATATAACCCTGAAATGCTATTGTGGCCACTGTACATCCAGTTCTACTTTTTGTTCCTGAAAAAATGTCAAGTATCTATCAAGACTTTTGTGAATTATTCCATTTGGCATTCCCAAATTGGTGCTTCTACCACCAATACCACCTATCACTGTAGGGTCCTGGATCTAGAACAAAACTGTTGGCTGTGAGTGATTAGATGCACCCTCAGGGATTCCCAAATAATCAGAGGTCTTTCCCAAAGTAACCCATGGCAGCCCCACCCTGGGCAGGATGCAGCTGGGGATGAGGCTTTGGCACCTGCAGGTGTTACAGACCTGGCTGGGGGCAGCCCTTGTGTAGGGATGTATTTTGTATAAAATACAGGATGCAGCTGGGGATGAGGCTTTGGCACCTGCAGGTGTTACAGACCTGGCTGGGGGCAGTCCCTGTGTAGGGATATATTTTATAAAATTGTTTATTGTATAGCCCAGTGCAGAGGGGTACATGTGTACATACAGACATAGGTACACACCTGCAGAGGCACAGCTGTTTGGCTCCTTTGCTTTCACCAGAGATAATAATCCCAGATTCCCCAAAGGACCCAAGGTGCAAATGAAAAAGCTAGGCTGATGTCTGTCCCTTGTGCCTCCTAAATTTGACTAAGAGTATTTTGAACTAGAATAGGAGCCCAGCCTGCCTTCTGCAGTTTCTGTCCTCTGAAATTCAGAGGAAATGGAGCAGCAACAAGCTGTCCCCCAGCCTGCCCCTCCCTGTGGGAGCTGTGCAGCTTCTCTAACATGCAGACACTGAAGAGCTGCTGTGCTGCTCGAGCCATTGCCTTTTCTTCAGTGCAGTTAGCAAGTCCTCAGTGAAATCACCAGCTCGGTTGTCCTGGGTGGCCACTGGAATGTCACCCCCACCCCTGCAATAGTCACCATTCTGCCAGGATATGAAGGTATCCTCTGCTGGAGTGAACTGATGTGAGCGCTGTGGAGCAGTCAAGGCAGCACTTAAAAGCACTGATGCCACAAGGCACTTAAAACACAGATAATATTTTTGAAGAGGTCTATGTTTGTGAAAGAATAGGGGTAGATACAAACATCTTCTTAGAACTTTGTTGAGCTGGAGCCTCAGGTCTTATCTGCAGAGGGAAATCACCCAGGATAGCTGCTCTGCATTTACCTACACGCCCTGTGCTTGGGAAAAGAGCTGGCTGCTCATGGGGAGCTGCTTTCCTTGGCTGGCTCAGCCTGGCTCACACAGCCCCTGGCAGCTCTGCCTCACTGCCTGCAGTGCCAGAGCTGACTGCACTGAGCCTGTGGTGCTGTGCTGCTGTCACACTGCTGCCCACGGTGGAAACATCTCCCAGGGATCCCTTGGTGCTGCTCACAATCGGGGCAGTGGCCAGCACGACACAGCTGCTGTCCTGTACAGTTTACTGCTGTGCTTGTGTTACAACAGTCTGTTTGTGCAGACAGCCCATGGCCTCCATTCTCAGGGCCATGTTCCTCTCTAAGCATTGAAAGGTGTCAATGAAACATAAGAAACAAATCCCTGCTTATTTTTTGTGCAGTAAATTCCAGACACTTGTTGAGTGAAGCTAGCAAAAAGCTGTAATGGTTATAAACACAATATCCCTCGGTAGTATTTTAATTTGTAGGTATTAATTATCAACAGTTAATTGGAAGTGGCTTTCTATGTGGGGAATTCCTAATATTTTATCGGAGCTACAGCATTGCCCTAATCACATCATGACATTTTTTTCCTAGAAAGTCATTGTCACAATTTATCATAGTTTGGAAAATTGTTCCGTTATTTTGGCCACAAGGGCATGCCCATCCAGTGGAGCTGCCCCTTCTCTTTGCAAAAAAAAATTGTAAGGGGTTTCAGTTTAAAAAGGCCAGATTTCTCTTGGGAGACATCTCATGGATGACAACCCTGCCGTCCTTGCAGGACCTGCCGTGGCAGAACTGTGGGAACGCCTGGAACACCGAGCGCTGCTTCTCCAACTACTCCCTGAACGACACCACCAACCTCAGCAGCGCTGTCACCGAGTTCTGGGAGTATGTCCCAGCCTGCCTGCCCAGCTTCTCCCCCTCCCCTGCCGCTGCCTGCCCGGCTGTGCCTGCTGGCCGTGTTCCCTGGGCACTTGGGCAGGGGTGTCACAGCCAGCCCTGGGCCATGCTGGGCGCTCTGATGGGGCAGCCAAACATCCTCTCTGCTTCTCTTCACCTCCCTCTGCCCCAGCACCACGAACCTCCCTTCTCTCTGGGGATCTGGGGCTTCTCACACTTGTCTGCACCTGGTCCTTCCCCCTCCAGCCACCTCGGGGCTGCAATGCCCTGCCCTTGGTTGTCAGACCTCCTCCAGCACGGTGTCTCCTGCCCTAGGAGGAACATGCACCAGATGTCCGGAGGCCTGGGGGAGCCCGGCACCGTCCGCTGGCCCCTGGCTGGCACGCTGGCCCTGGCCTGGCTGCTGGTCTACTTCTCCATCTGGAAGGGTGTGGAGTGGACAGGCAAGGTACAGTGCGAGGGCTGGGCCTGGGGTGCTGCCTCTCATTGCTGCGCTGTCACAATCTCCTCCAGACACAATTTCATTTAAGTGTCTGTAACTAAGGTTGGGGTGTTCAGAGTATCACAGGCGATACTGTTAAATTCCTGACATTTAAATTTCATGGCTGTAAAAATTGCTCCTGTGTTTATGGTAATTTTCATTCTAAGTGTAGAGAATAGCTCTTGCCTGTAAGGTTGTGGGTCTGAGCACACATTCTTTTTGAGAAGAGGCATTTTCAGAAATTACTTACATTTCCCACTTTGGGACGGCCCTTTGAGAGAGCAAAGCTTCTCGTGGCCTCCCCCTTTTGACAATCACAGTCTCTCAAATTGCCTCTGGTGGAAAAAATCTCAGCATCTCCTTTGAAAATTTCCCCGCTGCCCTTTCGATTATTGGTGGAGACCTTTGGATGAGAAGCCCGTTGTTATTCCCTGTGCAGTGCTCCAGGCTAGCACAGCAGAAAGGTAATTGCTTAGTTTAGTGAAACAGCGGTGCTGAGATGCTGGGATGTGTTATTTAGAGCACAGCATGGTGCAGTGGGACACGATTATGATTGGAATAGTTAGAGGAGAGATGAGAAAGAAGCACTTCAGGGGTAGGTCACCCAAGCTGTTAACTTCCCCAGTGCCTCTCAAACAGGCTTTAGCTAAGCAGCCACAGCAAAGCCCTGGTGATTCCTGGTGTGGGGCCTGTGATGGGGTATGGCTCATACCTGTAAGAGCCTGAAACACTGCTGGAGAAAAAGCACTGGAATCAAGACAACTCATTTTGCTTGGTGCATTGGTCTACAGAAACAACAGCTTTAGCTCTGCAAATTAAGGATGTGATGACTTAAAGGGATTACTTCTGTGGACTAAAATTATCCCTGTGCAATTCCCTTGTCTCTGGGCATTTCATACAGACTTTAGCATGCTACTTTTGTGATTAGTGTGTCCTTGTGTATCATTGGCAGGGGGAAACAGCAAACAGCTAGAGCATGGGAATGGGGGACAGCAAATGCAAGGAAGTGCTGCTGAAAGTGGCTGTGCTTGGGAGCCTGTCCCCCTCACAGGAGAACATGCCAGACTCAGTGACAGCATGGGCAGGAAAGCTCCTGGGCACTGATGAGTGATGGCTTCTCCCCCATGGGGCCTTTTTCAGGTGGTGTATTTCTCAGCCACCTACCCCTACTTCATGCTTTTCATCCTCCTGTTCCGGGGAGTCACGCTGCCAGGAGCCAAGGAGGGGATCCTCTTCTACCTCACACCTGACTTCAGGAAGCTCTCTGACTCTGAGGTTTGTACCTAGTGAGGAAAGCTCTTATCTCCCAGCTGTCCCTGCATTAGGCTTCCCCAGGCACGTCCTGTGAATACTGTAAGTACAAAATATTGTACTTTAATATTGTATATTAAAGTAATGCTGGAATAACCCTGGTCAAGACCCATGTCCCATAGGCTGAGACAAAACTGAGGGACAGGTCCTTCATGGGGGGAAGACTTCAGCAGCTCTGTTCTACTCAAGCAGTGTTATCCACAGGCCATGAGGAGTCTGAAGCTACGCTGACAGAGCTTCCCTCTGGGCTGGGAATGCCTCATTTCACTGACTGCCCTAGGGCTGGCAGTCTGGTCTTGTCCTGGTGGTCCCAGAGAAAGGACGATGTGGGGCTGGCATGGGGGCCTCAGGAGGAGCACAAGCACAGCAGCAGTTTTTGGAAGTGCTTAAGTGATGAGTGGTGGCCAGTAATGTGCTCTTGCTCACTGGAAGCAGAGAGGAGACCCAGGAGGAGCAGGGACATTTGCAAAAATGAAGTTTTTCAGGAGACACAGACTCTGTGTTTTTCAGCAGCAACACTCCCATGGTTCCAAAGTCACCAGTCATGTGTGAGTGGGGACAACTGGACATCCATCATTTCCCAGTGGGGGTCCCAATGATCCCCCTTGCAGGACACTCTCTAGCTGTAGTACCAACTGCATTGGCTCTAATGCAGGAAACGGGGCTCTCAGGACCAGGAGAGTTGTGTCAATGCTATGCAATTAAGAAACAGTCTGCCTCCTTTTCTTCAACTTCCTGAGCTTTCAGACCTTAAGGCACTGGGGCCAGCTTTGCAAGCTGTCCTCTGCAGTTGTTTGCACAAACAGCTCCATGTTGGAAAATCAAAGACACGCTAGTGGAAGAGAAATGGAGGGTGTGAGAGCAGGATGTGGCTCTCAGAGTGGAGCAGCATCCCTCAGGGGCATGTGTGAGAAAGCAAACACACACACACAGAGACTCAGTGCAAGAGTCCCTTCTGATCTGATCAGAAATGCATGACCCTTGGTGCCCCCACAGCCATCCCATCAGAGGATGGGGATGTGTGTCTGATGCTGGGCCAGGCTGCACTGTGATACACTTGGCACGTGGGAAGGATGCAGATCCCTGCCCTCCAGTACATAAAGGGCAGCCCTACACTAAAGCTCTGGAGAAGGACTTTGACATGCAGTGACAGGACAAGGGGAATGGCTTCAAACTGAAAGATAATAGCTTTAGATCAGATATCAGTAAGAAAGTCTTGGCTCAGCCCTGCTGCCAGGGTTCCCTCAGGTGCTGGACACCCTGTGGGCTGTACATCCAAGCACACAGCTGCACAGACTGCACCCCTGCTAGCCCTGCACTGAGCTGCTGCAGGACATGCACCTGCAGCACAGCCCCCTTCTGCTGCACTCCTCTTCTGGCTCCTTCTCCGCAGGTCTGGATGGATGCAGCCACTCAGATCTTCTTCTCCTACGGCCTGGGGCTGGGCTCCCTCATTGCTCTGGGCAGCTACAACACTTTCCACAACAATGTCTACAGGTCAGTGCTTCGTGTCCATCCTCCCGTGGCAGGGAGTGCTCCTGGCTGAGGCAGGGGTTGTGGTGGGTCTGCCTGATCTCTGCTGTCACCCTGCTGGCAGCAGGCAGCCCAGGGGACACTCTGTGACCTCTGCAGAGGCTCCCTGCCTGCAGGACACTTGGCATGTCACCGTGCTACCTGCCCAAGGCACGGGGCCGGGTCTCTGCAGGGCCTGGACTTCACCCCACCCTCTGCTCTTGGCAGGGACTGCAGGTGTCTTCTCTTCCTCTCTTCCAGAGATTCCATCATTGTCTGCTGTATAAACTCCACCACAAGCGTATTTGCGGGATTTGTTATTTTCTCTATCATTGGCTTCATGTCACACATCACAAAGAAGTCGGTGGCAGAGCTGGCCTCCTCAGGTAAGCAGAAACCCAGGTTCAAATGCAACAGCAACCTGGGAGAACTATTTGTAACTGAGTGTGGGGTGCTTGTGGGTCTTTCCTGACTAGCTGTGCTGAAGTTTTAGTTGCTGTAGTGTTATATATTCTTTCTGTAGTAGTTATTTAGTTATTAGTAGTTATGTAGGCCATTTGCTGTCTGAAACCTATGGAGAATAGGTACTACCTGTGTTTTCAGTAGATGTGATCAAAACCTGGAGTTCCTTTTTCATCTCAAGAAACAGCTTTTTGTGATGGGAAAAAAAAAAAAAAATAGGCACCAGGAAAGTTAAAACCAGCTCTGAATATCAGTTTATTTTCTAGCAAAGTGCTCCAGCTCCATTTGGTTGCAATAATTTGGTGACTTTCTTGCTTGCAGGATTTGTTTCTCCAATCATTTCTGCCTCCCCACCTTACCCCCGAGCCTCCCACCGAGTTGGTGTTTCACAGGCACAAAGGCTCAGGTGTTCCCTGCATGAAAACCCCTGAGCTCTGGGCTGTAACTTTTGTCTCTCTGTTTAACCATGGCCTTTAGCTCGGACTTCCCATCAAATGCTTTGTACAAGTGGGCTCATCCCTCTTTTCCTCGCTGCAGGCCCTGGGCTGGCTTTCCTCGCCTACCCGCAGGTTGTCACACAGCTGCCGCTGTCCCCACTCTGGTCAATCCTCTTCTTCTCCATGCTGATGATGCTGGGTCTGGACAGCCAGGTGAGACAAGCCAGGACAAAGCAGGGGAAGACACAGAAGTGTTGTGAGGTGCAGTGCAGGTGTCCCCTCCTGCAGGGTGACAGTGCTGAGCACAGTGGGGTTTGCTCTCTCATGGTGTGGGGCTGAGCTTTCCCCCTGAGCTTGGCACTGGTGTTGGTGCCTGAGCTGCAGCTCCCTGGGCTGCTCCATGGATCCAGGGATAGATCCTGGCAGAAGGAAGAGTCACACCTTGGAGGAGGCTGGTGCCTGGGAACCCTGGCTGCTCTGCCATCAGATCAGCTTTACAAGGTACCTGAGGGGAAGCAGTTCTATGGAGCAAAAGGTCTCTCCCCTGTCCCCTCACAACCCTCACAAAACAAAACAAAAACCATAATCTCTGCATTTTTACAAGTGGTGATAGGGTTTTTCTGATAATTCAGCATAAAAGCAGCTGCCCAGTGCAGCAGTGAATTGCAGCATGCCTTCCTTTTGAGTGCACCAAAATCAAAGGTTCCTGCAAAAACCTGCACTCGATGTGTCATAGGAGCCCTTGTGCCCACATGCTCTTCTCTCACAGCACAAACCTCCAGTGCAAAATGGTGCTGGCTTGGATTGCAGCTACTGCTCATAAACCCCAGCCTGCTTCACAATCAGACTCAAACCCATTCCTGAAATGTCACACCTGGTTCCCAGGAAAATCTAATCAACCCAATCTGGTTTTCAATCATGTCACACTCTCATAAACACTTTATAAAGCTCATGAATGCATTACCACAGACAGAATTCAGAAAAAAAAAAAATTAAAAAAAAAAATCAAATAATACCTAAATGTACTGAAAGAAACTACATTTACAGAAAAAAAATTATCTGCATGGATTATTCAGTCAGTGCTGCTAAATAGTTCGAGACATGGCAATAAGCCCTCTAAACACCCTGTGGAATTTATTTGCCGCATTTGCTTCTAAAATTCTTGAAATTCTCCACGTCCCTTCTGACAGCCAGTCTGTTGGGGGGCATCACTGCCTGGAGGAACAGGCTGGGGGGGAGTGAAGCATCCAAAGGAAAACAAGCTTTTAAAAGCACGGCTAAATCCGTGTGAAGAAGCTTTGTGTCTGCATGTGGAGCTCTGGTTCATTCAAACACAGCAGCAGCACGGCAGCTTATGCACATAAAGCATAAGGGGCTGCTACAGTGGCTGCAATTCCACTGCATTTTGGAGAATTGAAAAGGGCTGATGACACATCCTGGGTGTTATTTGCGAGTGGGAGCAGGCATTTCTGGAGTGGCTCAGCAGCCAGGCTGGGGAGGCACGGCAGGGGAAAGGCTGGGCTGACATCGGGCTGGGGGCACCCACGAGCTCCAGCCCGAGTGATGCTGGTCCAGAGAGGCTCCTGCAGCTCCATCCCCCTCTTCCTGCCGGTGCTCATCCCTCTGCAGCCCCTCGGCTGGGATGGATGACCTGCACTGACAGACCCCCCTGCAGTGCCTGACTCGTGTGCCTTGCTGCCCCCTCTGCTCTCCTCCATCCGGGCTCTCTCCCATCCAGAGCCCCTTTCAGAACGTGCTAATGCCTCCTTTTAACCTAGGGGATTCCAGGTCAGGCATTTACTGCTCGGGGAGCTGGCAAGCCTTGTGCCAGCCAGCCTGTGTCTGTCCCATGTGCAGCTGCCTCCCGCGGGCTGGCCACGAGGGTTCCCAGCTGCCAGCGGTGAGAGCACTCTCATGGACCTCTGCTGCACATCTGGCAGCCGTGGCCAGACTCCCCACGGTCTCTGCATGCCCACAGGATGCTCTGTGAGCAGGGAACAGCAAACCCTTGACACTGGGAGAGGGTGGGAAAGAGACTCTCCTTCAGACAGAGCTGCCAACCCTGTACTGACTCCCAAGCCCAGAATGCTGGACCCAGCAGCTTGTGTGATGATGATTAGGCCCCTCAAGGGGGAAAGGAGCAAAAAAGAGAAGTTAATGGAAATAAAATGCTTGGGAAAGAAATAATATCATGGGGCGAGGCATGAAGAAGAGAAGAATATGTGATAAAAATTGGCTGGAGAGGGTTGGTGGGAAAAGCAGGATTTTTTGGAAAGCAGACTGCAGTGGCAAGAACAGGAGGCACCAGTGCTCAGCTCCTTGGCACTCTGAAAGCAGCATGCCTTCATTCAGGTGCCTACATGCACAAGCAGCCAAGGTTTGGTCTGTAAGCTGGGAAAAATGAGCCCTGTGCCCAGCAGCTGCAGTCCCTGGGGCTGGAAAGGTGAGCCTCCTGCAGGCTGCAGCCCCTGTGAAGTCTGAGGCTGTCAGGAGGCAATTTTCAGTAAATGGTGTGAAGGTTATTGACTGTTCCATGGCTAGAAAAAGCAGTGTACGATCATTTATTTCTCCATTACACAGGAGCTTTATTTTGATAGGAGACAAAGAGAATTCAACTCACGTTGTAGCCCTGTTTCTCATCACCCATCTCCCTGGCTTTCCCTCTGTGCATTCCCTGATTTTGATCATTCTTCCTGCACCAAAGGGCTGTCAGCTTTACTGCATCCCATTCTCTAAGGCACCCATTTCTTTGCTCCTTCTCTGCTGGACACCCCCTCTGCCCCGACTGGGGCTGTTCCACTCCAAACACATTTCCCTTTCTGGTCTCAGCTCCCCTGGCCCTGCCATGGCTCTGGCAGTGCCTGCCCCTGCAGCCATGTGGAAGGAATAGCTTCTGACAGTGGTTTTTTAGTCGTGCTATCTCTCCACACTGTGGTGCCAGCTCAGTGCTGACTCTTCCAGACAGGTGGGATGGGGTGAGGAGCTCACTGTCAGTGACTGTAGAGGCAGCTCAACCCACCGTGAACAGCACAAGATGCTTTAATGGCACTCGTGTCCAACATAAAAAGCTCAGCTCATTAAAGATTCAAGTGGAAGCAGTTGAGCTTTGGGGCTCTGGGAATACTGGCTTTCCATGCAGACACAAAACCCTGGGCAGGCACATCTCCCTTTGCCTTGCTCTGGCCCACGGGGCAGCCAGCCCCAGCAGTCAGCAGGGGCATCTTCCACCATCCCTGCCCAGCCACAGGCTCAGGCACTGCATTCTTCTTCCACACATCCTCCCAACCCTCTGCTGCTCTCTTTGGTCTGTCTGTACACCTCCACCTCCACTCTAGGGTTTTTGTTTTCTTCCTGGGGAGGGGGAAGTCCCTGACATCGAAGGGTGATGAAAAACTTTGTTTTTCATTGCACTGGCTTGTACATTTGTTCAGCCTGACCAGGGAAGCCAGTTTGCTGCCCTCATACATTCCCAGGGCTGTTGCTAGAGGCACAGAGAGGTATGTTACCTGCAGTTTCTGGGAGCGAGATATAAAAGTAAATCTCAGCATTTATCAAGAGATGGGAGGGAAGGAAGCACTTCACATACACACAATCAAACTGCCCTTGTGCCAGGAGGCAGAGCTAGTAGGAGAACTGGAAGGCAGCACTCATGGGGATTTCATTATGTGTTATGGTGCAGGCAGCATTATTATTATTATACTATTATACTATGATATATTATTATTATACTCTGCACAAACTATGCAGGGGTTTCCACCTCTGGAAAGGTGACGTGCTGGGAGGCTGTTGGTGTGCTTGAAAAAGCAAAATGAAGGACTGGGCAATCAGAGATGTTGTTATTCCTGTGCTCACGAGACTGGGTAATGCAGGTCCTTACGGAACCTTCTGGATCATCGAGCCACACAAGGGCGGTTCCACAGGCTGAGAGCAAGAAGGGAGCAGGGGCAGAGGTCCTGCACATGTCCCAGCTGCTGGCAGCCAGGCACAGCTGTGACACAGGGCCTGGCAGCGTGGGGAGCAGGGCAGTGATGGGGAGGCCCCAGGGAGTTTGTGGGAAGAAAGAGGAGGCTTTTCATGAGAAGCAAAAGGCAGAGATTTATCTCAGCTATTTTTAAGTATTTAACTTTGGTGCTCCTAGCTCCATCTATATTCAGTGGGGAGAGAGATGAATTTTCAGAAGATGGTTCAGACCAGCTTTGTGCAGATATCTCTTTGTTTTCTAGAGTCTGCAGAGTGCAGAAATCACTAAGGTTCTCAATGTGTGTGAGCTCCTTATAAATACACATATATCTATCCTCGGTGTATGCCTCTCCCCATAGTTCTGCACTGTGGAAGGGTTCATTACAGCCCTGATGGATGAGTACCCTCGAGTCCTAAGAGCCAGGAAGAAGATCTTCATTGCAGTGGTCTGCTTCATCTCTTACCTCATTGGATTCTCCAACATCACCCAGGTACAGATGGCTGTGCTTGTCCCTCCATCCCTGACACCTTTCTGGCCACTTGGCATAGCACAGCACCACCAAAGCCTGGGGAGAAGTGGCAGCATTTCTCCTGTTCTGGATAAAGTGGTGTGCCCATCACTGCTGCATCTCCAGTGCCTTAGGATGCCTCCATAATTGTTACCATTGTCTATGGTCAGTCTGGCCTGTTGTTTTGCTATTTGCAGTAAGGACTCAAGCCAACAGAGCCCAAATTTAGGGAATGCCTGCTGCAAAGAGTTAAGATAACACAAATAAAACCTCTCTGTTGGGGGCTTGAACCTCTGGAGCTGAAGCTGAGGTTCATGTGAGGGGAGGTGAGGGCTGAGTGCTCTGGAGACCGTTTGTGGAGCAGTGTGGGTTCACGAGGAACCCTCTGGGGAGGGGCAGACTAAAGCAGAGAAATAGAAGAGATCCTAGTGAATGTCTTCTTTTCTCCTCACCCTCAGCTATGCCTGAGCAGGCTGGCCAATTGTCTGCAAGAGCACATCAGTGCTGCTGCTGGGAACCAGACTCCAGTGGAAACATTGCAACAGTGGCTCTACTGTCCAAGGAAATTAACATTAAACCACCAGACATGGACAGCAGCAATCCAAGCTGCTGGCTGATATTGTCGATCATAATCTATAACTGAACTCCTTGACCCTGGTTTTGTCTTTTCAGGGTGGCATTTATGTCTTCAAGCTGTTTGATTACTACTCAGCCAGTGGCATGTGTCTCCTTTTCCTTGTCTTCTTCGAGACCATCTCAATTTCTTGGTGTTACGGTAAGCACAAAACACCTTGTTCTTTTGTTTTCTCTGTGGGCATGGTGACTTACTGAAAGAGCCAAAGCCAGCGAAGACAATGACAGTTTTGCAACCAAAAACAGCTTAGACTGATAACTTCAGAAAATCAGGAGTGGAAGGCTTCATCTCACTTCTCCAGGCCATCACAAAGACCTCTTCCAGACTGGCAGATGCCCGGGGTCGTTCCCTCTGGGTCCTCAAGAGGACACCAGGAACATGGAAGCTGTTAGCATGAATCTGTGTGCCATGGAAGCTGTTAGCATGAATTTGTGTCCCATGGAAGCTGTTAGCATGAGTTTGTGTGCCATGGAAGCTGTTAGCATGAATTTGTATCCCAGTACCCCATCCCCTCCAGCTAATGCTTCTCATGCCACCCTCTCACCCTCTTGCTGTGCCTGGCCTGTGCTCTGCCATGAGCAGACCATGGTGCAGAAATTGAGGGGTTCTTTTTCAATGCTCATTTCTTCTTGTAGGTGTGAACAGGTTTTACAGGAACATTGAAGAAATGATTGGTTACAAGCCTTGCATCTGGTGGAAGATCTGCTGGGCTTTCTTCACACCCCTTGTCTGCCTGGTGAGACCTGGGGAGCCCAATGTGCAGGAGTGGGTCTAGAAAGGCCTCCAGATGGGCTGTAGGAAAACACTGTTCTCACCCCAGCAAGGGGGTCCCAGGCAGACTGGAGATGGGTAAAGTGATACAGGAGCCTCTTTCACTCTGCCTGCTGGAAATCACCCATAAAAAAGTTCTAGATGATTGCTTTTAATCTAAATGAGGCCATCAGCTCTTCTTTTTCTTTTTTTTTTTTTTTCCCCCCTGAGATGCCAGAAGATAAGCAAAATAATTTAATGTTTCAAAAAGCTGTTCTTGGTTCTGGCTTTCAGCTTCATCCTCTGACAGGCTTATGAGAACAAAGCTATCACAAAATGCAGAGCAGTTTGGCCTTTGCAGGTTCCTGCCCTTCCAGCACAAGCAGTGCAGGGAGTGGTGTGCCAAGGCCAGGGACAGGAGGATGGAGACTCCTGGGACCAGCTGTGAGGATGCTGTTTGTTTGCCCAGGAGCTGCTCTGGGGGCACTGCTTGTCTGAGTAGTTCAGTGAAGAAGGAAGTGAGGGGTATTGCAGTTCCAGCTTTTTACATAGGATAAGAAGAGAGGATACAGAATCACCATCTGGAGGGCTGAAAGAATCCAGACTAATGTAAAGAGCTGTTGGGTTCCTGTAAGGCTGTTGGGAGCTAAGAGGGTAATGAAGGAGAGAATGGCTGCACCCTGATTTTGCACTTTCCTCTGCAATGGCTGCTGTTCTTTCCCAGGGTGTGTTCTTCTTCAGTGTGGTGGAAATGACCCCTCTGACGCTGGGAAAATACGTCTATCCTGCCTGGGGACAAGGCATCGGCTGGCTCATGGCCCTGTCCTCCATGGTTCTGATTCCAGGGTACATGCTCTACTCTTTCCTCACCTCAGCAGGGACCCTCCGGCAGGTAGGAACAGCTTCCCCACCCTGCTCCGTGCTCAGGGCAAGCTCCTCGCTGAGCTAAACCCGGCCCAAGCAGCCCCTGCTCTGTCAGAGCTCACAGAGCTGTCAGAGTGCTGCAGGCTGCTGCTGCAGGGGCTCTGTGCAGCCCAGGGAGGCTCAGAGCAGTCCCAGTGCCCTGAACAGCCTCCAGTGCCACGGCACAGCTGGGCAGGACACATCTAACCTGGAGCTCTGCTGGGCTGTGCCTGCACCTGCAGCAGTCAGCTGCACCTTCAGGTGCTCTGCCCTCATGTCTGCTGTTCCTCATTGACATTTGAGTGTCACCACAGAAACGGAGCCCTCCTCCCCTCACTACCCCTTTGGTGTGGGCTACTGGAGCCATGGAAGAGTTTGGGAAGAAATCCTTGAAATCTCCCAGCCCAGAGAAATCCCAGCTCCTGACGATTCCTGGCTCTGAGCATGTTTGTTGGCACTCCTCAGCAGGGAGATCAGCATCCTCCAGGCCTGAATCATGAAATGTCTCAGGCTAGGCCCTGCTAGCAGCAGAAACAAGCACAGGGGTGGTTTGTCACTGCCTTTCAGAGAACATTCCTGAGGGGTTAGGAGGCAAGAAAGACCCACAATACCCATCACACTGGTCTTGTTTAAAACATTTTCTTTAGTAATTTGAGCAGGATTTTATGTGGCAGTGACTCTATGTCATGCCCAGTACTTACTGTTAAGATTTTATTTAGAGTGTTGACATTCAGTCGTGAGAGCACTGTGCCTCAGATCCCTGGCTCGCTGCTTACAGCTGTAAGAAGTCACCCCAGGAGTGTTGATTTATGGCTTTCCCAGCCCAGCTGGAGCAGCAACCAAATGCCATCTAAATCAAATGAGTTTGTTTTAGGGATGCTGTATTTTTAGCAAAGTCTGACTCAAAAAAGTTGTGGCTGGAATTATTGGGCTGAGGTCAGCTTCAGGTTCTCTACCTGAGGTGAAGTTACAGATGGATTTGAGTTTTCTTCCTCCCAGCATTCCATTTGGATGGGCTCTGATGTGGGAACTGGGTGTGTTTGGGGACTTGGATCTGCTTTCAGTTCCTGGTTTTCCATCTGAAGCTGGCTTTAGGTACTTGTCCTTCCTGCAGGACTCAGGCCAGGGTGTTATGTCAAGCCACTTCATTGATTTTGGGCTGAAGACCAGTGCAATTCCAACAGCAGGCCCTTTCTCAGACATTTACAGGGCTCCTTATTCACTCTTAATGTGAGCTGGAAAAGGGGGGAAGGGAAGCCTGAAAGTCCAGGCATGGGCTCAATGACTTTGCCCGGTGTCAGTCGTGTTTCTCTGGGGATGGAGAATGCACATTGCAGCATCTGGAGGAGCCCAGACTGGGCTGTGCCCCCTCAGGAGCAGCTGGACTCCTCCTGACCAAAGGCTTGTGCCATGTATATCCATCACCCTTCCCAAGTGCTGTGTAGTCCTGTGCTGCCCCAGGGGCTTGGAGGGAAGCTCCTGAGTTTCCAGCCATCCCCTCAGCATCCTGTGCAAACCACCAGCAGCAGTTAGCAGCCTGAGTGGCTGATGTGCCACTCCCTGTCTGACTCTTCCTCTGACATTGCCCACAAACATCAGGAGAGCCAGACCCCCTCTCAATCATTCACAGACCTTGGAGTGAGCAGCAGATGGCAGCAGGAAGAAAGTAGGCTAATCTGTGTGAGTATGTGTTGGTATCGGAGAGACAGAGAGAATTTTTGGCCTCTTGCATGCACAGATCCTGGATTAATTTGTAATAGAGCTGGAGCTGGAGGGAAATTAGATGCCAATCCTGAATAAAGTGGTTTTGACAGACAGGAAAGATTACAAGTAATTTTGATCCTACTGAGCATGAATGTGAGAGGGGAAAAAAATACCATGAATGGCAGAAGCAGTTCAGTGAACATTTCAGGGAATTCACCCAGCAGCAGCCACTTCAATGGTATTGGAGGGTAGGAGTTTGTTTCCCTTTACTGGAAAGAGGTCCTACCTGTCTCAGTGATGTCTGTTCAGGTCAGGCTTAATCCTCCTCTGCATTGTCTTCTGCAGTGCACAGCATCAGTCCCTCACTGACTGGCAAAAGTGATTCATTCTTCCTCATCACTCCTGACACTCAATCCACACGCCTCCAGTAATGATTTCCCCCTCCATATTTTCCTGGGCTCTTGCTTCACTTTACTTGACTCTGCAATTTTTGTTTGATCAGCTCAGGGTGGCAGGAATCGCTGCTGCACACAGGTTTGTGCAGGTGGATGTTCTGATCTGCATCAAAGGCACAGGCTCTGAGCTTGTTAACCCACTGTAGTTACTTAGTAATGCTTTGTAATCAACTCTAATTGGAAAATAGGTCTGCTCTGAGGCCTGTAGCATTGCAGCTCTCTCTTCTTGCTCCTTGCAGCTGGTCTTGCCTGGTAACAGTTTGCCTCTGTTACCAGATGCTCCCCATATTTCAGATAAAAGGAGGAGCTGCCGTGCGCTCTGCGCAGCATCAAAGCAAAGGTGGCTGGCAGAGGCTTTTGGGGTGCTGCCAAATGCTGCTGGAGGAGCCACTCCATGCACCATTCCCTTGTCCTGTGACCAGGGTCACCTCTGAGCCTTGGGTCCCAGCCCTCGGCTGCTGCCATCCATGTCCTGCCTGTCCCACTGCTGCTGTCCCCAGCCCCACTGCTGCTGTCCCCAGCCCTGGCTGATGCTCTCCTTTCATTCCTGGGCAGCGTTTGCAGCAGATGACGCAGCCCAGGCCAGAGGAGCACCCTCAGAACAATGGCCTCCAGCCGAAGACGTCCCTGAACGGGAGGATCTCAGACGCCGCCGTGTAGGAGGAAGGCCGAGCTCCTCGCCCTGCCCTGTAGTGCTCACTCCACGCTGTCCCTTGAGCTCCTCTGGCACAGTTTGCTGTCCCTGGCTCTGCGGTGACTTTCTCTTGTCCCCGAGAGGCCCTGCTGGAGGAACTCTTGTGGCTCTTCCCCCGGCAGGGCTGACCAAGGCCTGAACGAGCGGCCACCAGGGCGTTGTGTGGTGGCCGCCTTCGTCCTGCACCACCCTGCCCCAGGCCCTCAGGGGTGAGCAGCTGCTGCCCACATCTCCCTCCTGGCCAGGAGAGGTGGTGTCTCTCGACAGCTTAGACTGATTGTTATCCACTTCTCTGTTTTCCTTTCCTTTCCCTGTGACACTCCACAGAGCATCCCCAGCACGCAGCTGTTTCACCCCAGAGAGAGCAAATCCCAGATGGCTGTTGATTGCTGGAGCATAAAACACCAGCGAATCCATAACTGGAGGGGATGTGCAGAACAAGGGATTCTGTGAGGGGTCCTGCATGTTGGTAGCTGTAGGACATCACCTGGAGAAGGGTTTGGGGGCAGTGTGTGCTGCTCCCAGTGCCATGTTTCATCCCTGCAGCCTCCAGACATGTTTGTCTTTTTTGGTTTGCTGCATCCATTGGGGCTGGCACTGTGAGCCAGAGCCCCACAGAGCAGCCAACCTTTCTTTTCTGAAACATCCTGCCCTGTGTAGATGTGTGCAGTAGCCACACCCCAAAAAGCAGCTAAAAGGGTAAATGGAGGGCTCTTTGCTACAGGCTGTTCGAGTCGCCCACCCTGACCACAACAAGCTTCGTGCAGAGGCAAGGCTGTGTGATAAAGAGATTTCCCAGCAATGTGCAAATCTCCCCCTGAGATAAAACAGGGCAGCTCCTGCCAAACACCCTCCCTGGCCGTGTCCCCGGCTGGGAAACGATCAGATGGAGCATGATGCCCATGGATGGCTCAGTTTATACCTTTTTCAGGAAGTGGCCACTCCTAAATCCCAGCAGGTGGAAGGCAGGAATTCCTGAGGTGGATGTAGCCACCATGCTGAAGCCACCCCTGCGAGCCAGTGCTGACCTCCCTTGGGAAGTGTTTGCTCAGCCAGCTGCTGTCACTGGCACATCCCAACACAAACCACAGAGGGCTGTGAGCTCTTGTAGGTGGTGCTGGGGGAGTGCAACGCCTTGGAGAAGGCTGGGAAGTGTTTCAGAGCCATCCTAAAGCAGCAGCATATTTCTTGGTTGTGAAGCTCTGTGAAAGGAGGTGGCTCATCATAGCACCAGGCGTGGGTGTGACCGTGAGGCTCCCAGCTGTGCCAGCCTCCCAGAGACCCCACACCCCCTTGTACACAGAGTGTTTGGGGAGTGCTGTAGCTTAGTGCTGGTTATTCCCTCCCACCCCTGGCACAGCACTGCCAGGTCTGTTCACACCCCCAGCTTCAGATCAGAATCGACAAACTCATAAATGAGCATTCAAGAAATGGTGTGTCCCACCCACCTTTCCTGCCCAAGAGCCTGGTCTCAGAAGTGACACCCTGCAGTCCCCCAGGGGTCCTCCTGCAGGTGACAGGTGAGTGATGAGCCTTTGCACAATTGTCTTGCTCTCCAGTAGTAGCTTCAAAACGCTGCAGGTTGGCCCTGTGCTGCTTGTCCCTGCCACTCGCCAGAGCACCTGCTCCTCTGCCAATCTTCCAGCCCGTGGATCAGGAACAGAAGAAGAAAGAAGTTTTCTGGTGAAAGCTAAAGTCAGACCCCTTTGGGAGTGGGTCCCCTGCCAGCTCCTCGGGGCATCTCAATTAATGTTGCCTCAGAGCTGAAAGCAATTTGTATTTGTAGGCATGATTCTCAGCAGGGATGGCTGCTGGGCATGAAGTGCGTGTTCTGTGGTCTGCAACACCCCGAGCTGAGATCACACCCTGTCCCACCTGTAATTGTTACAGTGTTTGTGTCAAAAAAATCTCTGCTGTTAAATAGACATGAGGAAATTCTGTATTTATAGGCTTGGTCTTGTAAAGCCAAAAGCCAAACACTGAAAGCTGCAATCATAGCTCATCAGCATTAATCTCAGCCAACTACAGACATGTCATCTTCCCTTGTCCCTTAATTGTCTGTGCCACTGTAGCTGAAAATTTCTATTCCAATTTCACCTGTTTTTATGAACAGGGGCAATAAGGAAAGCACTCTTTATAAACATGTCCTTAGAGAGGGACATCTGTGCTCAAAAAATGTGTTAAAGCTCTAAACGTTGCAGTAATGACCCTTACTAGAGCCTGCTTTTGCCTGTGTGTCCAGGTCCCAAAACCTCCCTCCCCCAAATGCAGACTCAGAGTGGCACAGATGGGTGATGGGCACTGGGCTCAGTTTTTCAGTGAGGCTGTAAAACCATGCAAGACTTTGTTTCTTCCAGCTTCATTGGGACTGCTCAGGTCTGAAGAAGAACAAGTCAGTGTCAGTGGTACTTTTTTTAACTCTTGGCCAAAGGGTCTGGTTGCTGGCACAGCTGTTCAAAGGTTGTTCCTCCAGGGGAGTGGAGAAGGAAGGGTCCAGAAAACAAAGTTCTTTCCCTGGTTGCTGAGGAAATCTCTAGACCCCCAATTCCTGTTTGCTAGGATTTTAGCCCCAGCAGCTCTCTGACCTGTGGCCTTGCCTGTAGCATGTCATTCCAGATGTAGCAGCAGGGGCTGCTCATAATAACAATATTTGATGAGATTTAACCATTTGTTCAGTTCTCTGCTTGTGACCTTCTCCTTTGCTCTCTCTCCTGCCCTGCTCCTTTTTGTTTTCTTACCTCAGTCCTTCCCCACTATCATTTGTCCAGTGGAAATTATCTACCTCAGCTTTCTTCCTCCTGCTTTCTTAGTTTCACTACTGTCAAATTACAATTCTCCCTCCTTTCTCTTCTCCTTTCTATTCTTTCCTCATTTTAATCTCTTTCTATTATCACCGGCCTCTCTTCCCTGTTTCTCTCATGCTCTCCTTCCAGCACAGAGCTCCTTCCTGCTTGCCTGGCTTAGCTGAGTGCATGCTCAACACTCCTGCCTACGGAAAGCTGGAGCTCAGGATCCCACAGGGGACCCCAGCTTTTCACAGGATCCAGTCCCTAAGAACCAATTTCCATACCAATATCAAAATTACAGTGAAGTTCCAGGTATTCCTCTTCCTCTTTGCACCAGAAAATGCTGTGCCAATTAATACTATCTCCTGCTATTACTAGAAAGACATTTCAACCCACATTCCACCAGTGTGCACAGAGCTGTGCCTGTTCTGAAAGATTTTGTGCCCTTTCCTGTTTTTGCACTATTTTATTTCCACCGTGAATATTTGGATCTGTGAAGTCTGGCATACATAAACCTGCAGGTAGGAATTTGCCCTTAGTCAAGCTCTGTCTGACGGACTGATCCCGTCCTCCAGCGTTTCAAACTCATCCTGTCCTTAGCACTAGAAGAGCCTTCCCACCCCCACACGCAGGTTTTCCATCTGTTTTCCATAGTGAGAAGTCAGGGGTGTTGATGGACCCCCTTAAGCTCATCCCACAGCTCAGAAGTGCCACTCTGGGTGGGTCTGTCAAAGCAGCAATATCTGTTCATTGCCTGTAAGAACTGCTTTGTCCTGCTGGCAGGATGCACCACATCTGCTGACCACCCCTGTGCTCCCCATTCCTTCAGACTCACCCACAAGAGAGGCCATAGCCAGGGTGTGGAAGGCTCCCCTCCCCTCCCTGCTGTGATTCAGAAGGGGATTGTGCTCCCCTGTGCTCCCCTACAGCACTCCTGCCTTTTCTCTGTCCCCTCACCTCCCCAGCACCTGCCAGCCTCTTCCTCCCACCACAGGCAGCAGTTTGAAATAATCCTTTACAAAAACCTCTTAATTCTAAGGAGCTATTTAGGGACCTGTGTTCAAATCCCTCTGAAATCCTCTTTTTCCTGAAGCCAGCAAAATATTAAATGCCACTGCCCCCACCCTCTGCTGCAGCAGGGGGTGACACGGGCCATGGGAAAGGCAGGATTGTTCTGGTGCTGCTCTGGAGCTGCTTCCCCTGGAGATGCAGATGTGATCCTCTCCCCTGGAAGAGGGGAGCTTTTCCTGCTGCTGTTCCAGCAGATGTGTTCCAGCAGCTGGCAGCTGGTTGTGAAACACTCGTGCCATGTCCATGACAGGATGTGATGCCGTGTGGCGCTGCATGGCTTTGGCTGGCCAGCCACTCTGCAGCTTGTGGTCTCTCCACAGCTCCAGAAATTGGGGTGTTGAGAGGAGTTGTGTTGTGCATCAGGGTGCCCTTAAAGCTGGTGTCAATCTGGATGAGCAATTTGTCCTTATCCACTGCCTGTTCCAGGGGGCTTCTCTCGGGACTGGAGGATCCTGGCTGCATTTGGTGGTGGTGGCCGAATGGGGAGGGGTCTGTGTCACTGAGGGGACATATCTGCAGTGGTTTGGCAGGTACTGAGAGCCAGCAGCTTTCACTGAGCACTGCCTGCCTCCCTCAGCAGCTGAGAGCGCGAGGTGGAGCTCAGCTCTGGGTGTTTGCTGGCGCTGAGGCCGTAGAACGCGGCAGGGGATGGGGTGCACGTGATGGTGGCAGCACTGCCACAGGCCCTGTGGGGCTCCTGGCACATGTGTGTCCATCATCCCTGCGCTGCTGTCAGCTGGGAAGTGCCCGTGTCTGGAGATGCTCAGGAGAGGTTAGAGCTCCTGTGCCCGTACCTGACAGCCGTGACGCTGATGGAGATGTCTCCTGACAGCCCGGCACCATGCCACTGTGCTGCCAGGAAAGCGGCCCCAGGGACCAGCCACGGGCCCTCGTGGGGTGGCACTTGTCCCCACAGCTCCTGGGGACAAGCAGCCCTCACCCCACGGCTGCAGCCCTGTGCAGAGTGCTCATGGAGGGATTTACCCTGCGCAGTCAGTTCTGGTTCTGCTTCCAGATGAAAAGACCAGCTCATGAGGAAGGGACTTGTTGGATCTCTGGTGTAGTGAGAGGGGGGCAGGCTGGCCCCCGAGGGTCCCACAGCCAGAACA